GAATCAGGGTCTGTGTCGGGGTTGACGCTAAACCCGTCAGGGTGTAGGGTTTGAAAGCGCAGCTGTATCGGATGCCGAGCTGCCAAGTGATGGATCCAGGGGAAGCGGAACAGACCTGAAAGGCGAGGCGTGGCGTCGCCATGGCCGTCTTCCCTTCCTTTTTCCCCTCTTGATTGATCACACTGCGAAAGTCAGACTGATCAGGTCTGTACGAAAGCATGCCAAATGTTCGCATTTGCAGGGTTTCGGGGAAGTGTGGCGTGTTGTTTAGGTTCCAACAAGGGAAAGGACCCTAACTGAGAGAGCTGAATGTGTACTACCAGGAGCACAGTAATGACAGCAACCATCGTGATCATCATCAGAGCCAAGAGAATAGCCATTGTAGCAACGGCTGTAGCAGCCTTACTCGGCACGGTGGGACAGGGGGCGTCATGTTGAATGACAATTCAAGCGCTGAACGGGGGCCGATTCTTGATGCAAGCTGCTCGCAAGCGGGTGTCAGTATGTCTTCTTTGCTGGCAAGGCTCTTGTGGCAAAGCAAGAGTCCGCATTGTGGCAGCACGGTCAGGACTGCTGCTGTGGCATGAAACCTCATCCTTGGTTGCGTGTGATGATGATGATGATGATGATGATGATGTCGTTGTTGACGACGACGTTGTTGATGGTGATGATTGGCGTCAGGATGGTCGCGCTGATAGGTCAGGCGAAGATGAGTATTGCGGTTCCAATGATGACGATGGTGATGATTACATTGGTGTTGGTGATGGCGGTCATGATGGTGATGGTGATCATGATGATCATGATGATCATGATGATGGTGATGATGATGATGATGATGGCCGTGGGGCCTGTTGTCCAGAAGCCGGCCAGCAGATGTTCTGGCCATCGTCGCGAGGAAGAGATGGCACAGATGCAGCGGGATCATGAGAGCGTCGGAATCTGAGTTGCAGCGGGCGGAGCTAACGTTGTGAACATTTTTCAAGACTGAGGTAGTCTGGCAGTTTTGATCGCACATCACATGCTGGAGGTTAGGATTCCGGCATCATTGGATTTGTGCATAACAGCTGGTGCCACAGCCTTCTTGTTTCCATCACTACTGCCTTGCAGGACACACAAGGAAAGCAAGCTGGAAGCCACAGCCTCAACCCCATGCAAACCCTACACTTGTGAAACAAATACCTACAACTGGGAACCTGACTCGAATTAAATAAAACCTACAAAAAATAAAATAACAACACAACGAAAAACAATTCAAAATCATGGATATAGAAAACACCAAAGAATTCAGAATTCACAGCAACCAACCAGGATTGAAGCGAAAAGCAACTAATAAACAAAAAGCAAAATCAAACAACACAAACAAATTGAGTAAAACCCAAACCCCTTGGGGGGGGGTTCCTGGGGCAGTGGAAAATACAAAAAGTATACAAAAATAAAGGATACATAAAATAACACAAAATAACTGAAAGTATGTAGCAAATATGAAAAAATATAAACAGGTTGAAAACATCAAAAACAAACAAAAAACCATTGAGTTTAGCAAGTAGGAAAACAAGAAACATATCAAACACAACCAAAATTTGCTGCATTGTGTTTTTATGTTGTGTTTTGTGTTTGTTTTTTTGTTTTTTGCAACTGTTTTGTTTTGCGTTTTGTTTTTTGTGTCGTTTTGAGTTTGTTTTTTATTCGAAAAATTAATAGACGGTTGATTTCCAACGAGTTGCAGGCCTGTTGATGTCACAACCCTACACCATCCTACACCGTTAATCCCACGACCTGACCCCCAAACAGACACGTACAAACCGCGGCTTAAAGTTTTTTGCAGTGCTCTTTCTGTCCTCTTCCGAAAGCCCGAAAACTGCTCTTCCTGTCGCTACTTCGGGCCGTTTGCATATTCACTGTAGAGGCTCGGTAACCCGTTAGTGAATGTTATTTCAGTTCTTGCTCTCATGTGCTGTGCATTGTTGTTGCCAGTGTCATCGGGATTACCAGTGTCGTTTAGGGGACGCTCATTGCTGAACTGTGGTGCTCACGGATGTTGGCATGTTGCTCCTGTCTTGATTGCTGTAAGTTGCTGGTATCGCCTTTAGAGTGCCCAGGTCATCATTCACATACAAAAAATAGTTTGTCAAAAAACATGGTGATGCACGTGTTGCGTACAATAATGCATCGTACTTAAGCCGTACGGTTGGTCATAGGTTGCAGATCAGCTCGGAACCTCACAGACCGGATCCTCCAGGAAAGCCCCAAGTTCAGGGGTTCCGGCGGCTCCGGCCGTTTACAGGTTCAAGGGGGGGGGGGTAGGGTTTAGGGGGGTTAGGACCTAATATAGGGGTTTGGTCCGGGTTTTTTGTCAGACTGTTGAGCTCAGAGTTTCAGCGTCCGAGGTCTGGGCGAGCTTGCAAGAGCTTGCAAGCCAACAAGCTGTGCTCAGGGACGAGCAAGCTGAAATGAGCCGTTCCGAACTCGGCTTCTTCAACTACCTGACTGAGACACTAAGGGTGGAGGGTTTTACCCTAAACCCCGACTGTATCTGCAGGTTTCCTGTCTGTGGCTTCAGGAACTGCGGACTATGGGGGTTTATCCAGGCGATTGTTGGGCCTTTAGCGGTTCAATGCAGCTAGGTTTCTTCAATAGCCAAAGGAATCAGAAGCCTTTGACCAGCTGTTTCCTGACGCCTCATAGGCTTTGTCTCTGAAGCCCTCATAAATCGTGTTGACAGGCTCCCGACCACCGCCTGGCCTCCATCAGAAGCATGCGAATCCTCATTAAGATGGTTCTAATACTACGACTAAGAACAACGGCTGTTTTAACCACATGTAAGACCCAAGCGTGACCTTTGCAAGTCTTAAGCATTTCCCACTCTGGACGTGCTCAGCATGCCGTGACTTTCACTATAAATGAAGACGTAAATCTTTCAGGGATGTGAGTTGTGCGAGTTCGTCCACCCCCCCCGCCCCGACTGGGCAAGGGCTGGGGTTTACGCACCAGACCTGCTAAAACCGAGCTTTTATCATCTCAGTAGGGGTTGTATAGTTGTACAAGGATCAAATATTGTAGGACCCAGGTGTTGCGGATGCCATGATTTTCGATTCAGTCGCACACAAAAAAAAACCCTATACCCCATAAGGCCTAAACCACAGAGCAGGTGCCATGCTGGAGATTTCCAGCAGGCTTGACTTTGTGATGGAATTGAATGAGGCCCGGGCCGGTAATAGGGCTTATTTAAAATAGGGGCCTAAATAATTACCAATACTATTTTGGGGGTTCCTTAATATGATTATAGTAGAGTATAATATACCCCAAAGCCCTATTCTAATTGTTAAGGCCACTATATTAGGGTTCTGGGTTCCTCGCCAGCGGCCTTTCAGGCTTCCCTATGTAAAGCAGCAGGCTGCAGGCACGGAAGAAAGGCAGCGCTTAGAGGAGGCATCGAGAAAGGCCCTTAAGATCCGAAACACCCTACCTGTAGTCTCCATTGTAGTTGCTTTTTTTGGTTTAACCAATTATATCTGAAGGATTTTATAAGGTATCCCCAAAAAGGAACTACAATGGAGACTGTAGGTAAACTTTGATCTGAAAAGCCTATGCCGGAACCCCATTACCTTGCTCGCGCGAGGTCGTGCTGCCCGGCGGGCAGGAACATCTGCCTGCGCCTTAGCCTTGGTTGCATCAGAATGCTAGTGTCTACGACGTAGGATTAGCGGTTTAGGGTTTAGGGAAATTGCGGCTCTCATTGCAGTCGCAATCTTTCTAACGGGCTGCTACAAGGATTCAGAGCCTTTAGTTAGTTAGTTCTGCAGTTGAGTTTCAGGCTGGTCGTCTCCTTAAACCTTGAATCCCCAAATCCAAAGCCCTAATCCCCAAAATCGCGAAGCCCGAGATCCTGATATCCCAAGCAACCACGCACATTGCGCCCCAAAGGCCCTAAGCATCCCTGCACAGCTCTGAAGCTCTGCTGATTCTCAACTCCGTCCCTGATTTCTAACCCTGAGTACTTAAGCCCACCCCGATGGTTTTTTAAATCCCTAAATGAACTCCTACTACACCGATATGAACGCCGTAGGTAAGCTCCACACCCGGGGTTTTTCAATAGAACCCTTACAGGAAGGAGCCCTTTAAAGGGAACCCAAGGCATCAAGCCCTCAACCTCTGAACCTTGAACCCTGAAGCCCTAAGCCCTAAGCCCTGAAACCCCAAACCCTCAACCATAAAACCAATACTATAAACCCCCATAAGCCCGATAAGCCCTACAAACCCTATAAAGCTTATAAACCCTATAAAGGCCTATCATAAACCCCGAAACCCTCAAAGCCTCAGACCCCGGCAGTTTGGCGAGGTCGGAGCTGGTTGCTGCAACGGCTTCGAGCGACGGCCCTGGCGTGCCGGGATCTGCCGAGGCGCCGTCGACGGCTGAAGGGCTACAGAGCTGTCCGGGACATGAGAGGGTTTGTAGGGGTTGTTCAGGGGTTCTACAGGATGTTCAAGGCTTACAGTTTAGGGTGTTTGTGACAGGCTCTTTTTTTTTTTTAAGGGTTGGTGGTTTATGATCCGGGTGTAAGGATGTCATGCCAAGAAACCACAAACTTTCTTGGGTGACCATGACATTCATGACCTCCGCACCATAGCCACCCGAGGCCTTGAAACCTAAAGCCCTGAAGTCCTAAGCCCCCAGACCCTCCGATACACCAAAAACCCACTTGCCACGATGCTCTCCCGTTGGTCAGAACCTTCACAGCCCCTACGACGACATCCTCGTGGATAGCACGGCGACCCAGTGGGGCAGTAGGTTGGTCCGCGAGTCAGGCTGTAAGGCCAGTTTTGCCTAGCTTTAGCCTGCACTGGCAATTCAGCTAGTTCGGTCATGGGTGATTTTGTAGCCCCAGTTTGGGTAGTGTAGTGCTGTGCTGATTGAGCTTGAACGCATTTCCTGACACCAACCGACGATCCGCTGTCGGCTCAAGCCCACAGGGGGGGACCGAACGCTACATAAGAGAATCATGGAGAAGCACTTCTCCGTGAGGCGCTTGGTTGTTCGGCTCCAGATCACGCATTGCAGTAGGAGCTGTAATGACGAGAACCATTGCCTCTTCTCGTGGTCGGAGCAATTCCAATTTCAATGTAGTTTTTTTCATGAACTGCTTCCTGGCGCAAACCCGGAAACCCTAAACCTTAAACCCCCGAGGTTGTCTGTCTGGCCCTGGCTTTGGTTTGGAAGCTGGCAAGTGCCGAGTCGTGCTCCAATGCAGTCACCGACGAGGAGGTGCTTCCAGAGGCATCCTTCCTACAGGCGCGGTGAAAAAACCTGACTGGTTCTTAGTAGGGAATGGGATATTGGGACTACTATAGGGGGACCTTAAGGGACCATCCTAGGGATCCATTCCCCCATTCCCTACTAAGAACCAGGGAGAAACGGCAAGCTCAGTGCTTGAGCCTAGGGTTCAGGATATGTGCTGCATTTCGGTTCTAGTCCTGTCTAGAAGGCAGCCAGGACAATGCTGGGAATCACATGATCAGCAAGAGTATCCATTTCTACTCCCGCTGTAATATTCCTAAACCCTAAACCCTAAACCCTACCCGAAAGAAACCCATCGAAAGAGGACACCCTGGGCCGGCCCTTAGCTCGTAAACCATGGCGGCCGATCAAGCGAAACTCAGTGAAGTACGGTTGATGATCTACGCATTACCCATAATAAGGAATATGCTATAATTCCCATAGTTTGGGGTCCTTAAGGTAATGCAGGATTTATATCATCAACAGTAGGAGGATCGGGAAACTTAGCCAGAACTGTACATGGCCGTAGGTAAGGTCTGTAGGGCTTTGAGGGCTTCGGGCTTCAGAGTTCGGCGGCTTAGAGTTTAGTGTTTGCGAGTCTAGGGCTTTATTTAGGGCTAGGATGTACGATTATGGTAATCGCCTGAACCTGATTGCCCAAAACCCAGCCCTCCGGACGTTGTGCTCATTGCATGTCCTGTATTCACGACACCGACGTCAGGGTTCAGCCGTCACTGCAAAGTATATTGGCCACCTTACTTCTTTGCTGCGACTCGTTTCATGCAATCATGGTGTGCTTCTTTCATGCACATTCATGGCAGCAGTGACCCCTCACCTTGCAACCATCAGTGAACGGCAAATACCATGAATCGGACATGCAGGTGAACCAGAACATCACGCAGACGAGTTACCTCCAGTTGAACCAGAGTCTGACCAGGCCGCTGCCAAATGCGCAGCGCGACCGAACACTTCGCCACTAACAATAGTATAAGCGGATTAAGCAAAAGCGCTTTCAATGAAACATGTTGATTGTACGGATGATGCTTACTATCAGACAGCGTGTTGCCATTACAAACCATGTGATGCTTTCGACGCTTGCGTCGATGTTGTTATTGCTGTTGTTGTTGTTGTTGTTGTTCATGCTGCTGCTGCCGTTACTGCTGCTGTGCTGCTGCTGCTGCTGCTGTATTGTTGTCGTCGCTGTTGCTACATGGCTCGTTGGCACAGCAGTTGCTGCCGATGCTGTTGTTGATATTGATTTCGTGCGTGATACCTTGACCGTGTCCACTGTCGCTGATGCTGTTGCGTTTGCTACATCTTAGCGTGCTGTGGCTATCACGCTGCTGCGCCGACAACTCTAAATCCAGCATCAGCAGTTTTGTTGTGACCTTGCTTCCTTTTGGTACAAGTTGTGATGGTGATGTATACGAGTCCGAACCTGGTTTTGATGACAGTGAATATCATGCTGGCGCAGCAGAAGAAGCAACTTGTACTGATGCATCGTCGTTTCATCACCATCGTCATCGTCATCACCCTCATCATCAACATCGTTATCATCGTCATCATGATCATTATTATGATCGTAATCTTCTTGTTATGTGTCATCTTCGTCATCATTATCATCATCATTGAACCATCATGATCACCATCACCATCATCATCATTAGCAGCATCTTTATCACCGTCGTCGCCACAAGCATTATTATTTTCACCACCACCACCACCACCATAACCATCATCACCAACAACATCACCATCATCAGCAGCATCGTCGTCATCATCAGCATCGTCGGCATCATCAGCATCATCATTAGCATCATCGTTGTCGTCATCATCGTCACCGGCAGCGTCATCAGCATCATCATCACCAGCATCACCATCACCGTCATCATCATCATCATCATCACTATGGCTGTCATCGTCATCGTCATCATCACCGTCATCATCATCATCATCATCTTTTTAGTGTTATAGTCTTCGTTTTCATCGTCATCATCATCATTTTCTTCTTCTTTTTCTTCGTCTTCATCGTTGTCATCATCATCATCGTTGTCATGACCACCACCAGCATCATCATCATCACCATCACCATCACCTTCTTCTTCTTCATCATCATCATCATCCATGTCATTATCATCATCATCATCCTCGTTATCATCCTGGTCGTCGTCGTCACCATCATCATCGTCACCAGCTTACTAGACTCAACCACGATCCCAAGAGTTTTGTGTTTTTGATGCGAAGCCTCATGGCAAATTTGTTCAGAGAGGAGGGGCTGTTCTAAAGTGGGAGTTCTTTCCAGCGGCCAGGAGAACGCATGTGCCAAGAGGCGCTGTCGCATAAGGCAGTGCTATTGAGGTCTCATAGCCCCAAACGACACTGACCGACCCACCTAACAGTTCAAGATTTGGGGGCTCAGGGCTTACAGTCGTGGTTGGCAGCTGATGCTGAGGCCACAAGCAGCTGAGCTGCATGCACTACGTCCTGCAGATCCCAGCGAGGTGGGCCTTCCTGAACCCTTCCACCCTCCAAGGTATGGCTGTCGGGCTGGTGAGTTGAGGAGGGGTGAAATAGACGCACTGGTCGTGGTAGCAGTTGCGACGACCACCAACACCACCACCGCCACCACCACCAAAAAGGCCAGTGCTGCCCCTACTACTCCAACGACGACGACTACTATCACTGCTACTACTACTACAACTAGGACGACGACCACTACTACTACGACGACGACGACGACGACTACTACTACTACTACTACGACGACTTACGACTACTACTACTGTTACTACTACTACTACTACTACTACCACTACTACTACTACTACTACTACCACCACCACTACGACGACGACGACTACTGCTACTGCTACTCTGCCTAGGTCATGTCCCTCGCGTTCATGGAGAGCTATGTGCGCTCAGAGAGGTCAATGAGCTTTGGCAGCGTCTTCCTGGACATAGCTATCATTGTCTTGGTGGTCTTCCTCATCTTCACGTGTTGCAATGCAATCTTCAAACCATCGCCAACGCGAGCCCAAAGCGATCCCTTCCTGGTCGAAAAATCCGGTGCGGCCGCTGAACTTCTAACTTCCAGGGCAGTGCCGCTTCCTGTGCTTTGCAACTCGGCGACGGGGTTCTTGTTCACTGCCTAACCCCTTCGCCTCGAGGCGCTCTGCACCTACAGCAGAAAGCCTGGGCAGCTAAGGTAGCGAATTCGTGATGAGCAGTGAGGCCCGTTTTACGATTGACATGGCCCACATCACAAATGCCGTTCCTAGGCTGCTCAGGCATCACATGTACGGGCTCACATGATCTCACATGTCTTTCGCACAAAAATAGCAGCAGCAACAGCAACAACAACAACAACAACACAACAGCAACGGCAACCGCAACAGCAACAGCAACGGCAACCGCAACAGCAGCAGCAACAGCAACAGCAGCAGCAGCAGCACCACCACCACCAGTAGCCCCAGCAGCAACGGCAACGGCAACAGCCACAGCCACAGCCACCGCGACAGCGACAGCGACAGCAACAGGAGGAGGAGGAGGCCAATGAGGCCGACGAGCGACGACGACCATGACTGCGACCGCGACCGTGACCGCCGCCACGACGACAACCAGCACCACGACGACGACCTCCACGACGACTGCGCTGACCACAACGACGACCATCGCGCCGGCCACGACTACCATGCCGACGAGCACAAAGAGGACATACCAGAGTACCATCATGGCTACCTTTCGTCAATGTTGAGAAGGAGCACTAATGTCAACGGTGATGACAGCAGCAGCAACAACAACCGCAACCACAACCAATATCTAGTCTCATTATTTTGTTCACGAAGCGAGAGATGAGTTGAGCCAAGGTGCAGTCCTTCCCGATCAATCTTCCAACCGGGAAGAAGATTCTCGAGGCATGTTATTCGTCTCAGTGGTCAGAATTCCGAGTTGTAGGATATAAGGCATAGGACCTAGCACCTATGATGCTTCAGATTTCAGGGTTCCGCGTGAACGAAGATGAGGATGGTGCCGATGCGACAATGAGCATGATGATGGTAGCGATGGTCATGCTGATGGTGATGATGTTCATGATGCTGCGGTGATGGTCTTGCTGCTGCTGCTGATGATGATGATGGTGATGATGACTGCCGCCGCTGTGATTAGTGCTGTTGCTACTCCAACGGCAGCGATTCTCCGACGACGATGACCTTCCCAGCGACATCCACGACAACGACAACAAGGAAGACGAGTGTGACGGCTGCTGCTGCTTCTGCCACGAAGTGACGACGAACACCACCACTACCAACAACACCGCTGCCACCATGAGTTACGAGTATGACTTACGACTGCGACTGCGACGACGACTACTACCACCGCTACTGCTGCTACTGTTGCTACTGCTACTGCTGCTGCTGCTGCTACTACTACTACTACTGCTACTACTACTACTCCTCGTACTACCTCTATTACCTAAGCTACCTCCTACTACCTCCTACTTCCTCCTACTACCTCTTACTACATCCTGCTATCTGCTGCTACCTCTACTACCTTTGCTACCTCCGCTACTTCTACTACCTCCACTACTTCCACTACCTCCACTACCTCTACTACCTCTGCTATGTCTACTACCGCTGTCACAACTCCTCCTCCTCTTCCTCCTCGCTGCTGCTGCTACTCCTGCTGCCGCTGCGACTGCTACTGGAACAGCTGCTGTTACTGCTGCTACTACGCCGACGACAGCGACGAGGAGGAGGACTGCGACAACGATTTCCCACTAAATCTGCAAGTTTGTTGGCTGACACTTTTATGGCTTTAGGGCTTTAGGGTTAAGTTTCGGTTTGTGGATGTGTTTTGTAGACCGGAGGGGAGGGTTCGACTTGGAAGGCCACCGTACAACAGGGTGGCATTATTTCCATCACGGATGTGCAGCAGACGAATCATGCACCCTGGAGCTGTTTAACGGGGCTTTCAATCGGCGCAAAATCGAGTCGTTCTTTCGTTTTGTGATAGAATGTGGGAGATTCTCAAAGCAGCCAAGATGATGCTCCGAGCCAGTGCGGCGGGAGGACGAAAACTCTTGACGATCATGGACGGAAGTGGTGCGTATTTTGGCAAAGTCTCTGTCGAACCGGAGGGGATCGGTGTGATCCTGCACCACAAGCAGAGTCCATGTTGCCAAATCAAGACCACCGATGCTTGGATGCGCGATGCGGGGTGATCTATGCAGTCTGAATTGAAATGATTCAAAACAGAGTGAAAGCACGGTATCTTTTTCAGTTGTTCCGCTGCTCGAGACATGCAACTGCTTTGTATGAGTGGGGATAGCAGCTTTGCTGCTCCCAGGACCTCTCTAGCTTCTGCATGGAGTTCTCGACGCTGGCTGCCTTTGGGCCCTGTTTGTCAAGATTTTGCTGGTTGGTCGAAAACTCAAGCCCCTCACCCCCTGCAGTCAACAACACTAATGCAGACTGTTATGGAAATAGGTATTGGAGAATGAGCAGTTAAGCAATGGACAAGGACAGTTCGTGGCTACATCAAGAAAGAGTAAGAAATGGTAGTGGCATCTAGAATCTAGAGCTAAAACACGCACAAACAGCCAACCAGTCGCATGAAAGGCAGTGCATCATGCACAAGAGGACAAGCATGCAATATGTGCCACCCCAGAGATGACATTCCTCACTGGGTTTTTCCAGAACTTGTAAACAACAAACCGCGGTCATAAGAGCACTAACATAAGCATAGTCATACTAGTAAGGCAGCGGGAGCAGCAGCAGCAGCAGCAGGAGCAGCAGCAGCAGCAGCAGCAGCAGCATCAGCAGGAGCAGCAGGAGCAGGAGCAGGAGGAGCAGGAGCAGGAGGGAGGAGGAGTACTATTAGCATCAGGAGCAGTAGCAGGAGCCGTCGCAGGAGCAGCACGAGCAGTAGCAGTAGCAGCCGCAGCAGCAGTAGCAGTGGTGGTCGTGGTAGTCGCGGCCGTGGTCGTGGCCGTGGTGGTGGTCGTCGTCGTCGTCGTAGTAGTAGTAGTAGTAGTCGTCTTAGCAGCAGCAGCAGCACAGCAGTACTAGCCCCAGGAGTACTAGCATTGCCGGCACAAGTACTGGTACTATAGTACTAGGATGAGGGGGAGCATGAGCAGGAGGAGTGCAAAACACATGCAGCAGTCAAGCGATTGCCCAGGACAGGCGCTCGGTGATCGCGAGGAGCATCAAAAGGGAGGACAAGCGGGGTGGTGAAGAGCTCCGCATCCAGGTGCCTGTGCTGTTTTTGAGGGGTGTTTCAGTGCCGCAATCTTCTCTCGAGATTGGGGTGGAAGCAAGCGCTTGCTGCATTGAAACCTTCGGTGACGACTACTCCTTGACTGCCAGGTCTCACCGCAGCATGACGCAGTCCTTATGCTTGGTTGTGTCTTGGGCATCATTCTGCTCGAGCCCGAGATGATGAAGATGGCCATAGCATGAGAGGCCCTCTTCGTACAGACAGATCTTACGTGCATGTTCACCCGACATGTGCATGCGTTTCGTCTGCTGCTACTGGCGTGCTTGTCGAAAAATGAACGTGCCTGTCTCCGGCAGCCGCACTGCCAATCTCTCGGGAGCACCCTTGAACACGGTTTCAGCTTTCTTGGGACGATGAGTTTGAAGATGTTGTGACAGGTTCGGGTTCCAGTTAGGTTTCGATCAGGAAGATGCCGAAGGCAGGCAATGGCCCGTTGCAGTGGCGCGTTTTCTCGCCGCCGACATCGTACAGAGAATCGCGTGAGGTGCTGGGCACCAGCTGCTACCCCCTTTGCCGCAGCCTCAGAAATCAGACGGTGGCACAGCATTTCACCTCCCTCGACAAAGCCCTGCTTGTTTCGGTCTTGAGTGGCACTGGATGCATCATAAACCTTGAGCTACCTTACCTCCGATTTAGCTGCCATGAGCAATACGACAATAGTAGAAACCCCCCCAGAACGAAACTTGCGGCCCTGAGGTCTTTAAAGCCCCCCTTGTAAATCTCTGGGAACCCAGTGACTCTGAACAGGTTTTTTGGAAGCTCGGTGAGGCCGCCGAAACCCCCCAAACCCCAAAAGCCAAAGCCGTGAATCCTTAAAAAAAATTCAACCCTCATCCTACAGTCCGTAACCCCTAAGCCTTAAGCCTCAACCTAAAGAAGCCGTCAACCCCACAGCCCCTTAGTGCCGAAGCCACAAGCACCCGAGACCCTACACCCACCGAAACCTGCCTTCGTCGGATGTAGGTGGAAATTACGCTGCGAGAGGAAGGAGGGCACATTACAGGGGTCCTGATAATGATCAGAATTAGGTATGTATAGGCCTAGTTTAATCGTTTAGTACCATTTTCGATCTAGTGAAAGCACGCTTGTCATTATGGTAGCTTACCTACAGTCTCCATTGTAGATCCTTTTTTGGGGATACCTTATATAATCCTTCAGATGTAATTGGATAAACCAAAAAAAGGAACTACAATGGAGACTACAGGTAAGCTAGGTTCCACCGCCCCAGGCTGCTGTCTTCGGTGGCCTCACCAGTCGGCAGGGCCCTCAATGACCAGTAAGAAGGAACACTGGGGGTAAAGGTGACAAATATAGGAATACCCATGGGCCCCTAAGTAGTTCCTTTTTGGGTTTATATTTAGAATCCTACCAGGTAATCCCAAAAAGGAACTACTTAGGGGCCTATGGGTATTAGGGACCCTAGGACTTCCAAATTAGGGTTTAGGGTTTAGGCATCGGAGCCGGAGGCTAGCTGTTTGGGGATTCTACATAGAGGGTTTTGTACAGTGGCTCCATGGCGGTGGTTTTTTTTCTATTTACGGGCTTTGAGATTTGCAGTTCAAGGCAAGATGCCTGTGAGTGCTTTCTTTTCCGGTTTCGGACTGCAAGCTTAAACTTCCCTGCTCGCGGGCGCAGAGCACGGCAGCTTAAACCCAGGCTCAGATCCTAGAAGCTGTGCGGAACCCACCGCTAAGTGTAACTGAACACCCTTCGGCCATGAATCTTGGGTTGACTGGTACTAGAACGTAAATATCAAGGTTTGCTTACTATAGCACCCCCAAGAGTTGATCAGCATCGTGTATGCATCTTATGCAAACCCATTCCTATAAAGCCTTCTGAAAGCCCAAGTATGACCCTGTCAAAGTTGCGGGTTGAGGGCTCCATGACCTACATGCATGAAGGTCCTGACAGCACGGCGGTCATGAACGCTGTCTGCGCAGCCGCACAGGTCCCTCGAATAGCGAGGAGTTAGAAGACCCGGAACTCTAAGAGAGTTTCAGACAGAAGGGTATTTATGAGCTTATAGCCGTGGGGAAAACCCAATGTGGTTTTAAAGTTTGTGGGAGAGTCTAGGGATTTGGCGATGTTTCGCGCTGAATCACCTTCGTTCCACGGTCCCACTCGCACCTGCCCATTCTTTGTTATATCCAGCATGTTGGTGCTCCCCATCTTGCACAATCCCGCTGCTAAAGTGCCCGGATGTGCCCGGCGTGGACGTGCTCGGCTCTCGAGACGGTCCCGTGCTCATTTTGGCCTTCAAGTCGCTCGACTTCGAGAAGCGGGTATGGTCTCGTAATCCCGTTCCGTTGTTAGAAGAGCTGTGGGAATCTTAGGCGAAATTCGGACCCTGCCTTAATCGCAAGGTGCTCTAGGACTGTTTGGAGTTTACGCTTGTCTACGATGTATTTACCTTCAAAAACTGAAACCCTACACTCTACACTCCTAAAGTGCCCAACGAGAACCCCATACCCCAGAACGTTAGTTTAGGTTCTATTGTCCGAGCTGAAGAAGTGTGATGCGATTGAGAGACTTTCGCGTTCGGCCGGGCGAGCTTCGGGGCTTGGGCTTTTGGGTTGAAGCACCCTTCAGGCTTGGGTGTCTGCCTTGTGACTAGGCACGTGAGCTGGAAATCACAGACAGAGGCGCTGATCTTGAAGTCGCTGGCAGGCAGCGGCATCAGCAGCAGCTGCAGCCGCCGCTGTTTTGCCCGTTGCAGCTGCAGGCTCGTACCTGTCCCCATGGTCGCGCACGCTTGTGGTGATTCCAGAGCCGTCCCGCTTCCAGGCAGCTTTCCCCTGGCGCCGGCTGACACTGCCGAAGGTTGGCTACGGCTACCCTCGTCACCGGTACATGCAAGTGAAGGGCCCGGTTGCGGGGATCGAGAACTGTGAACGGATCCACTGCATGCCCATGACGCACACGACGCGCCAGTCCCAATGCATAGGCTAACAGCACTTGGGTTTTCTTGCGCACTTATGGAGCAGAGAAATTCTCATGTGTGAAGGTCCTCGAACACCGCCCCGACAGCGGCCAGGCGGAACAGCTTGTGGAGAGGGCACTGGTAGGAAGCGCGCCTAGTGTTTAGCACTGAAAGATCGACAGCCATTCAGGGTTGCGGGCGCTTGGATTGGAATTGCTTTATATTAATATAATGTAATATAATATAGCATAGTATAGTATAGTATAGTATAGTATAATACAATAATATAGTATACTATAATAGACTATAATATACTATAATATACTATATTATACTATATTATTTCCTCTCTTCCAAATTGCTGCGCGGGGCCGGGACGCTCCGAAACTTCATCCGAAGCCTCGCTGGCTGCAGGACTTCCTGCCAGCACGGTGAACCAGCAGAGCCATGAATATGATCACAATCAACAGCGACAGTAGAGATCAGGGGTGACGACAATGCCGTCGATGCTGATGATAAGGATGCTGATGCTGGTTGTGATGGTGGCTTTAAAAGCCGTGGTGCTGATGACTCGGATGGGGGTGATGAAGATCATGATGATGATGATGTTGATGATGATGATCTTCTTGACGATGTTTATGTGTTGGTGACGATGATGGTGATGATGGTGATGCTGACTTTCTTTCGGGTCACCACGATAATCATGATGGTTGTAACATGACTCTCAGTAGAAATGTATGCGGCCACCAGCTTCGCACAAGCAACCACACTGGCAGGTAAAGTCGACCGTGACTCCAAAAGCCGAGAGCCCAGTGAAGAATCGTGAAGGATCAGTGAGAATAACGGTCGTCATTATCTTATTGCCCTTGCAGTTTCTGTAAATGTGTCCTTATATCTACACTGTATATCTAATCAGTGTATATATATATACACATCATATATATATATATATGTATATATATATATATATGTATATATATATATGTATATATATATACACACACATACACGCATATTTGTCTTTGCGCCTAATTACAGATATATACTGCATTTTCACAGTTGCAGACCACCTTGGTTTAAGGCACAAATTCGCATTTTACCAATGACACGGGCTGTATGGAGTTGTTGAACTGTTCTGGTTGGTCGTTGTTGTCCAGCTGTAGCTTCCTGGCAATTCCACCTCACAGCGCGTTGAGAATACGTGTCACGGTCAGTAATACCGTCGTTAGTCCACACGCTGTCCGTGTTCCATTTGCCTCACCTTTGACAGTTATGTGCTGTGGCTTTGACACCAGGGGGAAATGTTATCGACTTAAACACAATCCTCCATGTATCCCTGAACCCGAAAATCGTGGATGTCGACGCCCTGCAAGATCTGGCCCAACTGTTCACCCCACCACAACTCGACACCCTCGACCTCATGCAACTAAACCCTATAAAGCCCAATTCTGATTCTTCCAAACCCGAAGCATTTCAGCGGAGAGCCCGAAAGTCCAAAAACCTGACACCCTAAACCCGAAACTCTGAACACACACAGGAGCCCTCATTATAGTAGCGGTATAGCAAGCCTTCGAAGTCACCCTTGTAGTAGCCCATTTTGTCCATGGACTTTGATGGCCCAGGCCCCACCATCCTCTCTTTGGCCAGCCTGGCTCCCGGCTTCCCTGCCTCAGGAAGCCTTTAGGTCGATGTCGGCGGTGTAGGTGTTGAGGAGTTTGTGGAGTTTGGGGCCCCAGAAAGCCCTAAAGACAGAAATCACTTGCAGAACCACGGGTTTCTCAGAAGTGTCTTCTTCGTTTTAGGGGTTGGGGCGTTGTTGCTCTGTTTTGTTTTGGATTTTGGGGGTTCAGGGCTTCTTTCAGGGGATTGGGGTGACCCCTAGGGGTCAGTTCGAAGTTCTCAAGCCGCACTTCATTCCCCGTAACTCCAAGCAGGAGCAGTCTAGCTTTGTTCCTGCCACATGTATGGGAAGATATGAGAAGTGTTAGGTGCCGTCAAAGCTTCAACACAACCTGAAGGCCCCACTACATAAGCCTTATAAGGCCTTAAGTCCTAGGAAGGCCAAAGATAGACATGCACCGTCGAAGCCCAAGCGCCCTACACCCAAAACCTAAAACCCCAAAGCCCTAAA